GCGCCCGGCCCGGGGATTTGCCGCGCGCTCTCCTGTAGCGAATGCAGGGGAAACCGGCGGCCGAGGACGCGCGGCGGATTAGAACAATATTTGCCCAACATGACGGAGAATACTGAGGAGAGCCGAGTGCCGGTCGCTGAAGAGGCTCTTGAATATAAAGTTGGGCGCTCGAGAGCCCTCCAGCGCTAATGGCATATCCCTCCACGGAGACCGAGGGACTCTGACTTGGCGACGCACGATTTCTGATTAAATCCAAGGGTGGCTTCAGACACCGACTTTTACAAAGAGAGGCGGGGGGCACCGCGAGAGCGAGGGAGGAGGCGGTAGGCACCGCTCGGCAGCCGGAGCCCCTTCCCGCCTCCTCCCTTCCAATTATCCGTCGGCTAGCTCCGCCGCGGCGGCTGTGAAATCGTTCTAATCTGCCGGATCTCCGCAGCCGCCAAGTTCCCAAATTGGGGGGATCGAGGCCGGATTAGTGTACCGGGTGTCCCCCAACCTTCTGAGCAAACGGTGTAGACTTTGCATTAAGGCTTCCAGGCGAGGCGGCTCCCTCCCCAGCACGCACCAGGAGGGCCTGTCTTCCTGGTTTCCAAAGTCACCCCCGCCCCCAGGGACCCTGGCCATCTGTGTACCACCTCCCAGAGCCCGCAGGTACGGTCCACGGACTTCTGGGGCCGAGCAGGTATTTCATTTTAGGAGACTTCCCACCATGGAGCATGTCCCCAATCATCCCCAAAAGAAATTAGAACTTTGCAAGAGGTTAGAAGCAAGAAGGGTCCGGGGAGGGACAGCCCGGTGCCCCCAGAGACAGCGGGGAAACAGCATCCTGTCACCTGTCCTGGGCTATTCTATTAGGGGCGGTGGCCCAAACTGGGGCTGTCAATATAGTCATCAACCAGCCCCTTCTGGCCCCCAACAAAATGAACCCTCTTGACCTCTTGGAGCGTGGAGCTGACCGGATGGGCCACATCTTGCCCGGTACTGGCATCTCTAAGGGGCAGGCGAACCTGCTGCCCAAGCTGCACCCTGGGGGCCGGAGAGCCATTGGTCCCAGAGCCTCCAGGCTCTCCCTCTGCCTCTCCCTGCCCTTCTCAGAGGCGTCCAGACCCTCCAGGTGTGCCCTCCTTCCGCTTAGGGTGGCAGGACTGGGGACTCACAGCACCGGGAACTCTAGCAGCCAACTAGGACCCTCTCTCCACCCCTGCAGGACCCTCCCTCCGTTTCAGGCCTTTTTTTTTCTGATGGCTGAACTGCCACAGCTCCAAACCCTGGGCGTTCAGAGCTGTCAGGGGTCTTGGAGCTCAAGAAACACTAGAGTCAAGGGGTGCACGGGGTCTCCCCCGCATCCTCACCGGTGCCTCTCCCCTCCCCTCCCGCCCGCAGTGTCCACTCCGCTGGGCCAAGGCCGGGTCAATCAGCTCGGCGGTGTCTTCATCAACGGGCGACCCCTGCCCAACCACATCCGCCACAAGATCGTGGAGATGGCCCACCACGGCATCCGGCCCTGTGTCATCTCCCGCCAGCTGCGCGTCTCCCACGGCTGTGTCTCCAAGATCCTCTGCCGCTACCAGGAGACCGGCTCCATCCGGCCTGGGGCCATCGGAGGCAGCAAGCCCAGAGTGAGTGTCTGCCGGAGAGCGGCCGGCCACAGGCCCTCCCCTGGTGCGGAGATCCTGGCCTGACCCCCTTCACCGCCCTGTGCCATCCGGGTGACTATAGGCTTCTTATGGGAAATACAGTGGGAGACTGTCCCCACCCCAGATGTCCCTCCCCATTGTTTGAGTTTCTCAGGGATGGGAATACCTGGGGTCCAGGTTGCCTGGGACTTTGAGGCCAATGAGTCATTCCTGGGCTGTACCTATATCTGTCCCGACCCCCTGTCACCATCCCAGACCAGGGACCATTTCCCCCTCAGTCTTGTCTGAAATAGTGAGGAGGGGGATCCTGTGGGTTCTATTTCATTATCTCTACCCCCCCCACACACACACACACACCCACTGCCTTCCTTGGAGTCAGAGAGGTTCCTTGAAAGGATACAAAGCCCATTTCAGAAGGAGGGCATGGCTACCAGAGCCACCAGCCTGGCCTGGGGCTCTTGGGAAGTTGATATTGAAAGTCTCTTCCTCCCCCTTCCCTGTCTTCCCGCTCCTGCCCTCCCACCTCCACCTCTGAAGCAGGTGGCGACCCCGGATGTGGAGAAAAAGATTGAGGAGTACAAGCGGGAAAACCCGGGCATGTTCAGCTGGGAGATCCGGGACCGGCTGCTCAAGGACGGGCACTGCGACCGCAGCACCGTGCCCTCAGGTGAGAAGGCAGCTGAGCCAGCGGAGCCCGGGGCTGCAGGGCTCTGGGGATCCGGGCTGGATGAGGTGGTGGTGGGGGCTGATGGATGGGGGGAACTTGGAGAAAAGTTGGGAGGGAACGGGAGGAAGAGAGTAGAGAGACAGTGAGGACACGGGAGGGAAGCAAAACCTTAAGGGAGATGGAAGGAGAAGGAAGGGACGGAGAGAGGGAGGGAGAGGGAGAGGGAGGAAAGAGGCGGCAAAAAGTTTACTTATCATGTTGGGTGAGAAGCGCTCCCTGGCACTCTCCTAGAGAAGTGGCCTGGAGATAGGGTTGTCCCAGGAGGTTTGATCTCCTCGGGCTCCCTGGACCTCCTTCTTCAAGTCACCATGTCCGTTCTGCTGCTGTCACCAGCCATCAGTGGGTCCCAAATGTGGAGGCCCTGAGCCAGGCTCCCTGCGGGGGAGTGTGTGCCTGGACGCACCTGCCTGTGGCTGGAGCAGCCAGGGCTGCGGGGCCTGCCTCGGAGAGGCCCTGGGGCAGGGGGTGTGGATGGGAGTGCACCCAGGGTATGTGAAGGGAAGGGCACAGGTGTGTGTGGGGATGTGTTAGGATAGGAGTGCACAGGTGGCTGTGTCTGCCCATCTTGCCGCTGAGTGCGTGCCCCGTGGGAATCAGGCTTGCCCACGGGGTGACACATTGTGCTCCGTGCCCGGCGGAGTTGTAAATGCTGGCCTGTGGGTATGAATCCCCAGGCAGTGAATTAGGGGGAAGGGGCTTCAGGACTTTGTCCCCGGGGCCCAGGGGCCCGCGCTCCGCTCCCGCGCCCCAACAACTTATACTTGCTCTTTTGCCTTTGAATTTCTGAGGTTTAGTGAGTTCGATTAGCCGTGTGCTCAGAATCAAGTTCGGGAAGAAAGAGGAGGACGACGACGGGGACAAGAAAGAAGACGATGGGGAGAAGAAAGCCAAACACAGCATCGACGGCATCCTGGGCGACAAAGGTAGGGACCCTCCCTGCCGGCCAGACCGAGCCCAAGTTTCCCAGGCGCTGGGGTGCGGGCCAGGGAAGAATCGATTGTGCTTCGCTTCTGTGCCCCAGACTGGCGGACAGAACTCGCGGCTCCGGAGCAGCCAGGAGCCTCTCAGGGTTTGGGGAGGGCGCCCCCTCCGTGTGTCCCGCTGGGCGGGGAGCAGGTGGCCTCCGTTGCCGGGGAGCTCCGCCGCAGGTTTCTGCAAGGCGCGCCGACAACCGTGTGCCTAGGGGCGCGGACTCTGGGCGCGAGTCCTCCAGGCCTGGCGTTTTGGCTGCGGGTCCCTGGGTTGATCTATTATTTATAGGAAACTTGGGCAAGGGGGGCGGGGGGCGAGGAAGGAGGGGCCGGCCTGCGGCTCCCTAAATGAATTTGTTAACCAGACCCGCACACGCTCTCTAAACGGTCCCTTGAAACCCCGCCTGACAGCTGACTGACCGCCGCAATCAATAAAAATTAGCGCGGGCCGCGTGGGCCGCTGCCTCTCATTTCCCGTTGCCAGGGCCCAGATCGCGGCGGCGCGGAGTGGGGAGGCAGAGGGGTGCACTCAGGGCCAGAGCCTGGGTAGGAGGATCCCGGTAAAGGAGAGAGATTGGGGCGCTGCACCCCCTCTCCCCCTGTCAGCGCAGCCGCTGGGCGGACTGGAGTCTAACCCGGGCTCTGATGTTCCTGGAGGGGAGCTAGAGGAGCCGTTCATCCTCCTGGCGCCTGGTGCCTGGGAGAGGGGATTGCTCTGTCCTGAATCGAGGCAGGAAATTTCAGGCGAAGGGAAAGTCCTTCCTCAATCCCGCGTCCCCTGGAAGTTGTCTTTGAGACGTGGTGAGTGTTCCTGCTTTGCGTGAGGGCGTGGGGAGAAATAGAAGCGGGAGATCCGGAGTCACCGGCCAACAGGAAAAGACGCCGGTCCCCAAGGACATGCGCGGGGAGGACAGTGGGAACCTGTACGACAGTGGCTTTGGGAAAAGGGCAGAAACTTGGAAAGAGCACACTGTGTTCGCGTTTCCTTCCAGAAGTTTGTGGAGGCCCCTCTCTCGCCTCCCGTGAACTCCCGGCTCAGGTCTCTCTCCAGTTCTCAGTGGCCTCTCCCAACCTTGAAGGTGAACTTCACAGACAAAGCCCAGCCAGGCCCAGCCCCCACGGGCCTGGTTGGAGCGGGAAGGAAGAGGGGCAGAGGCAGCCCCTGTGAGAGCAGCTGGAGCTGGGACTGAGCAGGCTATTGACATTCAGGGCCCCCAGTGGAACCCTGTCCGGCAGGGACAAAAGGGCGAGGGAAGAAAGGGAGCGAGCTTTGCCTGACACCCCGCTGTGCCGGGCCTGCCGAGGGGCCTGGGTCTTCAGTGGGAGGGGCCCTGAGGTCGCCCAGAGCCCTGGCACCCCTGGTGCTGGTGGGAGGGACCCAGTCTTCACCTCAGTCTGTATTGGAAAGGTACTTAGTTGGACTCCTTTTTTTGTGGGGTGGGAGACATAAAACTTGAATAATCTTTCCCACCAAATCCTGCACAGCAGACAGCGCTTGTGGGAGGGGTACCCTGGGTGGAGTGCTGGGAGATTTGGTTTTATTTGGAGAAACTTTAGGGGTGTGTCTGTCTGTCTATTGGTGGGGGTATGCCCAACTCAGTCTGTGAGGAAGCACAATAGACTCATTTCTTTTGAGAGAGAGGGAAAAAAAGGGAAATGAAGATGGTGTGGTTTGGGGAATCCCTTTGACTCAAAGGCATCCGAAGTGGCTTCCGGTGCGGGTCTGGGCTTTTATAAAACCAGCTAACAAGGCGGGCGACTTCGCTAGATAGAGGTTTTCCCTGCAGCAGGACCGGGAAGCCCCAGGCCTCCAGGGTTGAAGGAGGAGCCTGGCGGATCCGAAGGGAAGGCTGAGAGCACAGGCACTGGATCTGTGGAGTGGCAAAATGAAACGAAAGCCGCGGGCCTGGGCTCCGAAAAGCCCTGCAGTTCTGAGTGACAGTGGGCATGTTGGGCGTTGCGACTGGAGCTAGGTGGCCACGTAGGTGCTTGTGTCTGTCCCTGTGACTGCCCATCGGCCTTGGATGGGAGTGCAAGGGCTGTATTCAGAACCAGCGGGCTTCTGTGTGGGGGTGCAGTGTCATTGTAGAGGGGTGCAGTGAGAATGGGCTGTGTGCTGGTCGGGTTGCCTGCTCGTCTGTGCATAAATCGTATCAGCTCCTGATATGGTACCTGGGCCAGTCCGTGGGCACCTGGGTGAACTGCCCACCTGGAACCATTCACCTCTCTCCCAGGCCCCAGACATCAGTTTCATGGCCAAGTTAGGGGCTAAAAGACCTCCCAGCCTCCACCCATATCAACCAGGTGAGGAGAGGCCCAGAGGCCCCATGGGCAGAGCGAGGGGAGGAGCGAACATCCACAAACTTTGTTTTGGCTCCTTGCGTTGGACAAATGCTTTCTCCGGGGGTTGCCCCACTCGTGGCGGGGAGCCCTGGAAGAAGGGGTTTAAGAGCTCTCCTCTTTAAACGCTAAAGAGAGATCCCTCCCTGAGCCCGCTTTTTCCTGCCGTCCGCTTGGCATTTAATAACGTTAAGACTTATTAGAGCTGGTAATGAAAACTGGGCCTGCTGAATAGGAAGCGGTGTTGGAGAGGGGTGTAATAGCTCCCAGGCATGGTAAGAAACTATTTATCCGCAATCAGTCCTCACTCTCAGAGTTTGAAGCACAAACGTTAAGTTGAAGGGTTTTAAAGCAGATTAAATTGAGCTTTTATTTCTGTGCACTTTCATCTCTGAACAGCTCACTCCTGCTCCCCTTGGGCTGATATTCATGAGGCTGCTCATATTTTTTTTTTTGCTCTTATCCTTGTTAAGACTGAGTTATTAGGATTGTTGGTTGTGAGGATCTGCAGCCCGATGCGCGTAGGGGCTCCGGCCAAGGTCTGCTCACCTGGAGAGGGGAGTGGACAGTTCATGGCACTCATCCGCTCAGACTCTCCTCCATGCCCCTTCTCTGAGGATCAGGGGACGGACAGGCCCGGGACCCAACCAGGAAAGGGTTTGAGGAGGGAAGAGAAAGAGCAAGATTTTCCTGAGACTCTTGTAGGAAATTTGAGAGGCGTTTGCACAGAGTCAAACCATTCTTCTGGGGAACTGACCGAGTGAATGGGAAGAAACGAGTAGTAGTAATAATAATAATAATAATGGCAATAAGCAATAAGAACACCAAAGGCTCCAGCAAGCATCTGGCAATGTACAAACTTAGGCTGAAACGGACCAGATCAGACACGGGGGCTCCACACGGCTCTCTAAAGCAGAAAGCCCAGCAGGGTCACAATGAATAGGAAACCAGGGGGAAGGTAACAAGATTAAAAAAGAGGAGTGTGCCTTTTGTGGGGGAGAGGTCCCCCAAAGTCCACCCGAGAATGTGCCGGCTTCCCCTTTATGAATGGCCACCTGAGTGGGGGCCCTGGTGTGTGCCTGAGAGAGAGGGAGGCAGGTGTGTGTTTCTCTGCCTTTTCCCTTCATAGCTGTTGAAAGCGGCAAACTTACAGGTGTGGAGTGGGAAGTGACGGAGGAGACTCGGGAAGGAGGGAGAGAGCCCCGAGTGCCAGCTTTAGACACTTGTAAAAGGAGGTGGGAAACAATTTAATTTGGCAGCGGCGGTAGCTGCTAATGCGGTTTTCGGTCGTTTGCTACACAGGAGGAAGCTGTTTTGATTGTGTGTACAAGGACCTGCCAAATTTAATTAGGCTCCGGGGGAGCGAATGAATGGGGGGAGGGGGGTGCGGCTCCCCTCAGCCCACGCCGCCTTCTCCTCGGCTTCTTCACACCTGGAAGGGGCATTGTTTACCGGGTAGGAGAGGACAGGGCGGGGAGGGGAGGGGACCCGGAGGGAGAGGGGCCTTGGGAGAGGGAGCCAGGGAGGAGAGAAGATAGTCCATTTATCAAGAAACAAGCGGCATTGATTTAAACCAACAAGTTCCCTCCTCCGTAAATGTGTGTTTAGAGAAAGGTAATTGACACTCCACCAAATCAAAGGATTACCCCGGGTTGGCAATCTAATCAAACGGAGTCCAGGCGGGATTTGAAGCTGTTCAAAGTGGGATCAGCTTCGCATAATGGGGGCGCGGAGAAAGGCGGGAGGGCGCCGGGCGATTCCCCGGCTTTAGGCGGCGCTGGGTGGTGGATATTCAGTGAAACCCGAGGGGGAGGCCCGCGCGATGGGGGTGGAAGGGGTGAGCCTAGGGGAGCTGTGCTTGGGAGGACTATCCCCGGGGGAGGCGGCTCCTGGCGAGTCTAGGCGGGGCAGACACGACGCCCCCTTTCTTCCCTCCATCCTCCCCCCCAACCGAAGAAGAGAAAGGGAGAGGGGAGGAGGGAGCGGAGGCCGAGGAAGAACAACAATGAGATAACTATTACAAAGGCAAACACTGGCGCTCGCTCGCTGGCAGCCCCAGAACCCGCGGCAAATAAACAAAGTCCGCTGTTTGCCAGATAAACTCGTGCCTAAATGGAGTGTGACGGGGGCCGGGAGAGAAGAGACGGGAAGAGATAAGGTTGGAGGGGGAATGAACGAATATAATCTAATAGACGTTTAGAAAACAAACTTTAAACAAGGGCGAACAGGCGAGCGGCGCGTAATTATCCGCCCCAGAGACCCGAGAAGCCCTTGCAGGTTGGGGCGCTGGGGGTGGAGTGGGGGACCTCAGCCGAGCCTTGCAGAGCCGTCTGTTGGGGGGTGCCGCTGGGACTCCACTGGGAACCAGAAGAGGGCCCCCGGGGGCGCACCTGGGAAGGGCTCGGCTGCCAGACGGAGGTCCTAGCGCAGCCTCCTGCTCCCCAGCGCATTTCTCAGCGGGGTGGGGTCCCCTGCTGTCCGGCTCCCGAGTTTTATGCTCACCTCCCGGCGGCGGCGCGCAGCACCACACCCCCCGGTTGTTTGCGGCGCGTTTGGACCTAAAAGACTCCCGCGCCCTGCACAGCCGTTCAAGGAATTAGATATTTACCAGT